TGGCTGTGGATTATGTTAGTAAATGGGTTGAGGCGGTCGCTCTTCCTTCCAATGATTTAAGGGTGGTGATAAAGTTCATAAAGAAGCACATCTTTACTCGCTTTGGTACTCCAAGGGAAATTATAAGTGATGGAGGTAAGCATTTCATTAACCATCTTGTTAAAAACCTTCTTGCTAAGTATGGTATTCGTCATAAGGTTGCTACATCTTACCATCCTCAAACGAGTGGCCAAGTGGAGGTCTCGAATAGAGGTGTGAAGCAAATTTTGTAGAAAACGGTGAATGCGCAACAGAAAGATTGGTCTGAGAAATTAGATGATGCGTTGTGGGCATATAGTACTGCGTATAAGACATCAATAGGGACTTCTTCCTATCACATAGTGTTTGGTAAAGCATGTCATCTTCCGACAAAATTAGAACATCAAGCTTATTGGGCAATTAAGAGGTTGAACTTGGACCCTGTGCTAAAGAGAGTGAATCAGCTACATGAACTTGAGGAGTTTAGGCTTCACGTGTATGAGAATATCAAGCTTTACAAAGAAAAGACGAAGTGGTGGCATAACAAGCACATAGTAGCTCGTACTTTCAATCTAGGAGATAAGGTACTACTCTTTAACTCTAGACTAAGGTTATTCCCTGGAAAACTAAGGTCGAAGTGGAGTGGTCCTTTCGAAATGTTCAGAATGACATAACATGGGGCTGTTGAACTCAAAGATAAGACTGGCCTTACATTCTTGGTCAATGGGCAAATGGTGAAACACTATTTCGATGAAGATTCAGATCGTGATCGGGAAGCTCTTGAGCTAAATGATGAATGATCCAAGTTGCGTCTTGCCACGACGTTAAATCAAGCGCTACATGGGAGGCAACCCATGAACAATATGTAATAGATATGTAGTTCGTGTTTGAAATTTTGATTTTTATTGTTTTAGCTTAGTGTAAATTTGTAGAATCTAGGAAGTTCTTTTAGTTTTAGTTAAATAGGAATTTTCATTATTTGTAACTTAGTTTGTACAAAAAAAAATCTGGAACCAGGCGCACTGGTTGGCGCGCCACGCCTGGCATCGAACGTCAGAGCGCCCTCTCAGGCGCGCTGAGAGGCGCGTCGCACCATGGGTCGCATGTCAGAGCGCCTTCTCAGGCGCGCTGAGAAGCGCGTCGCCCCTCTCATCGCCCCACTGCCCAGAAAATTTTTTAACCAGGTTTTAACCCGGTTCAAACCGACCCACTCCCCTTAAAACCCCAAATACCAAATTCTTCCCCCATTCTCCTAAATCCTAACCGATCCAACCCCTCAAATCCCTCAAACTTTTCTCCATTCTTCTTCCCTAACTCTTTTCATTCTTCCATTAAACTCCCAATTCCTCCATTAAAACTCCCAAAACTTTTCTTCTTCTCCACCACCAACTATATATCCTCCACTCCCCCACTTCTTTTTCACTTTTACACCATCATTCCCCAAAAAAAAAAATCTTTCTCCTTCTCCTTCACCGACTACCTAATTCGACCCCCTCCCTAATTTTTCTAATTTTTTTTCCTTTTCTCTAGTTTTCTTTTCTTCACAGGTTACAATGGCACCAAAAGCTAAGAAGGTGGCGGGTTCCAAGCGGAGTATACATGGAAAAATGTCTAGGTCCTCTAGTGGTCGGGAATCGGTACAAAAATTTGGCAAAAAGGCTGTCCAAAGGTATGGCTGGGAATGGTTCGCATGTCAACAAGAGGCGAAGTATATGGGTGACGAATTTGTGAATGAGGTAAGATTGCAGTCGCAATTTCCTGTTATATATCAGACTGTGCTTGAGTTAGGGCTAAACTTTATATTTGACAATCCGGGAGATTGCAATTTGACATTAGTGAGGGAATTTTATGCTAACTGGCTTACTAAAATGAAGTATAAAACGGTGTCGGTTAGGGGGAAAGATGTCAAGTTTTCTGCCTGAATTCTGAATGAATTTCTAGGAACCCCAAATTATGACCCTACTAAGTTTAATAGTTTGAAGGATAAACCGCCTTATAGGGATATCCGACATACCTTGTGTGGGGTGGATTCAACCGCTAGGTGGGAGCGCAGTAAGGATACTGGAAGGCATAATACCCTCCATTTTGCTAACTTTAATCAAGTTGCTCGGGTGTGGCTGAAGATAGTGTGTAGTATGTTGTTGCCTACAAAACATTTGACTGAGGTGACAAGGGATATGGTGGTGTTAGTTTATATGTTGATGAAGGGAATGCCCATTAATGTGGGGGTAATCCTGAGAAAAAATATGATGAAATTTAGGAACAATTTGAGGTGGAGATTCTGTTACGGGAGGTTGATCCCCCGTTTTCTGAGGGCTGAGGGTATCAAAGAGGAAACGATCGACATGACTGTTGCTTATCACCCGGATCTTACGGGTAAGCTAGTTGATGTGATGAGGACTAAGACATTTGACTCATCTCATGGATCGGTTCTATCTGCCCTAGAGAGGCAAGCCTGTGACGATAGTGTTATGGCTAGGATGTTTGGGATGGCTGAGTTGCAATTGCGGATTGGTGGACGTCTGGTTACTGATGTTGAGATGGAAACAATGGCAGAACGTTATCCTTTGTCTGAGAGTGCAGCGTTTTTGTGCAAGACTGGTCCTGCCTTTTTGGAGCCTATGGATGATGATGAAGCTATTGCTGATGAGGCTACGGATGATGAGAAGGATGATGATGTGGATGAAGAGACGAATGCCTTGATGGTGTTCGATGGCGGTGATGACGAGGCCTAGAGGCCCCAGGGTGTATTCCTAACCTTATACTTTGTTTAAATTGTGCACTGAGGATAGTGCTTATTTTTAAAGTGTGGGGTGGGGTAATATTCTCTGTTTTATATATTTGTTTACTGCTTTATCGAGTCTAGTGTTAGTTTTTAGTTAAATATTTATTTTTTTATTTTGGGTTCCTCAACGTTTGTTTTCGGTACTTTTACTGAGGATTGTCCCTTTAAACCGTATAGGATTAGTTTATTGCTTTATTGAGTCTTAGAGTCGTCTTAGGAGTGACAATTCCCAATGGTAGATGGATGACGACCGTCTTAAGGGAATATTAGTCACATAAAGGAGTAGGATTGAAGCACCAACCTTGATCTTTTGAAGCTATTTCCGAAAAAGTCAGCCAAACGTCATGGGTATTCACAAGTGAAAAACTGCAATAGAGTGTTAAACTTGTAACAAGCATGTGTCCTTAGTTTTGACTCAAAATAAAAATAAATGGGCATAATTGTGTAATGATACCGTAATGTAAATTGTATGAGCATGTTAGTTGATATATCCTTATATGTGTCATGATGACATGAGTGGTGAGAATTGATTTGTTTTTGCTTAACTTGATGTCTAGAACTTGTCTTGTGTGTGTTGAATTAGTAGCTTGTATGACTTAGGGAATGTGATTGAGGCGTTTCTTTGAAATAGTCAATTCTTAAATCTACTTGTATGCCTACCATTGAAATTATCCCTAGTGAAACCCCATTGAGCCTTTAGCCTTGTTTATTGATAAATCACATGATAAGCCGAAATCCGTTTGTTGATACCAAGTCTTTTGATCCTATGAAAATCATAAATGCACTATGTTTAAGAATAAGGATTGAAAATTGTTGGTTGATATAGCCAAGGGTGAAATGCTACATTGTGTGGAAAAGAAAATTCTATTTTGGCCCTTGTCCTTAGTGACAATGTGCACCTCGACTAAAATTGAGGGTGGCTAATTTAGAACTCTGCTTGAAACATTGGCCCTGATCCTTTCAAGGATAATGTGTATCATATTCGGATGTTAAAATCTAGAGTTTGGATGGCTAGTGCAAAGGCATGAAAAAAAATTATGAAAAAGAAATAAAAGGCAAATATGGAGCAACAAAAGGGGTAAATAGTCATGAAATGTGTACTAGGAGGAAAGAAAAGCTATAATGGAGATTGTTGGCAACATAATGACATGTGCATTAGGGAGGTGTAATCACTAAGATGATTCCTAAATATTTCCTCCCTTACCTTAAGCCGAAATTACAACCAAATGAAAGTCCTCTTGATTCCTTGAGAAATATGTGCGAAAGTAATAATACACTATTGGCAAGCTTATGGTATGTTGAGAAAAGCAAGAACTTCTTTTGTAAGGGTGAGTTGATTTTTTGAAAAATAGGCCTTATTGATATTGCAAATTGCTTGAGTGAAAGGCTTTACTAAACATAAACAAGTGAAGGCATTCATGGCATGTGTAGGATTATCTAATTGGTGTGGTTGTATAAGTTTACATTAGCCCGGAAAAATAATAAAAGGGTCATTCTTTGAGCATGTGTTTTACTTGGTGTAAATGTTGTGAATTGTTGCATCCATTGTGAACTACAAGATCATGATTAAAAATGTTTGGTTGATTTTAAGGTGGGTTGATAAGTCCAAGGGTTGTGAAAAAGAGTTGATAGTCAAGAGATTGTTTGAGGATAAACAAAATTCTAAGTGTGGGGTGGTGATCTTAGGCACGGGGCATGATCTGAACCCTGTCTAATTAGATGATGAACTTCACTGGTTGGAAATTCCTCCGCAAAAGACGCATTCACAAGAATTCTATCCAATCTCCTTCTATTCGTCCATTCCACCAAGTGTATTTACTCCCAAAATATTTTACCTCTGATTATGCACAATTGCTAATACAATGTGCAAAATCAGTAGCCATCTCTCTCTAGACCTCACTTGTGAGATTACACTAGATATTATGTCATAGTTTGAATCTCATGAAATGAAAAGTTACAAATAATTTGAGACGGTTTGGAGCAACAAGATGCTAATTAAAAACTTAAAACATTAATAAGACTTCATAATCAAGATTCTTTCCAACTTGCAAAAAGGAAACTACCTAGCAAGTACACTTTATTAGTTAAATAAACCTACTTCATTCATATATAGCTTGCATAAGGTGAGGGAAAAAAAGTTGGGCTTGTAAGTGAATGTAACTTCTTGATAATTAACTTGCATATGGAAGTGATAGGGCTAAAGAGATGAACCATCAAACCATAATGGCCTGTGCCTTGGAAATTCTGAGGCCCAAATGCTATAATTTGCCTGGTCCATATTAGAATAAAGCCCAGATCCCATGTGATTGAGGCCCAGTCTGCAATCACATTTATGTGCATACATTTGCCCATTGCCCTGATAAGGGGCATACTGAGTACCAACTTGTGACACTTCTGACCTCGAGCTACAACCATTGAACCTTGATCTTGCATTATTGTAATGGTCATGTTGAAGGGGTCCAAAATCGAAATCTAAATTAGGACCAACACGTGGATTTTTCATCGTTGTCTTTGGAATGGCCATTTCACAAGTCAAATTGTGTCCATCAACACACTTGTTAGGTTCATAAATTGCTGTTTTTGCACCTACAGGTGTTTTGTACACGAAAATCACATAGCCTCTTGATTTTCTTGTTTCCTTATCGAAACCAAATGGACCCTTTTCTATGACACCATAAGATGAAAAGTACTCCAACAATTTACTTGGACACATGTCATGTGGCACGTTGGACACGTAAATAGTACGTAGAGACTCGTCATTTACGTCTCTAATTCTCGATCTAGCAACTTTTGTAATCGTCATTTTACCATCAATAGTCTTGTATGGCTCTTTCAATGCCATTAACATGCTCCTTACATTCTTGAAAATCACAAAGCCATACTCTTTGCTCACACCAAATTTATCTCTAACCACCAACGCGTCTTTGATTTCTCCATAGGCAGAGAAAATTTGACGTAGAGTCTGAGACGTAGTACGAATCCCAAGACTTCCAATGAAGAGCTTATGATGCGTAAATCCATCGTGGGACGACGTAGTTTTAGTCCCAAGAAGTACATTTTCTAGTACCCCGGGAAGTAAAATAGTGATGCCTTCAACAATTTTATTGATTTGGTCATGAGAAAGAGTTTGACTAACGTTTTGTAGGCTCATTTCTTGCTTATTATTTTTGTTCAAATGAAAATTTAGCAATAACTCTGTTGCATTATTTAGGAAATGCAAACATTTTAGTAGGAATATTCTTGAAAGTTCTTTGAGTTTTGAAGTGAAAACAAATCCAAGATTTTGACTCATTTTTTTGCAAAGTCAAAAAGGAAGTAGTAATGAAGAGAGAAAGATGATTTACTTCTTGTTTTACGAAGGTTTATATAGAGGGCCGAATGTCAACCTATGTACGATGTTGATTGGATAATTTTTGTAGCTTCCTATTATCTGGTAAAGAATAATATTTTTTTCTATCATTTTGTAGGTACAAACTAATAACTTTTGATATGTTTGGTCGAGTGGGGAAACAATTGATGAAAATATATTATTCTAGAATGTTTGGTAAAATTGAATGTCCTGACCTAACACGATCTATAACAATCACTTAATTGTAAGAATAATAGTTTTTATACGAAATAGAAACTTTTTAATATATAATCATGTGCTATGATTTTGAACAAAATAGAAACTTTTTAATATATAATCATGCATGTGCTATGATTTTGAGTAAAATAGAATTATTTTTAATATATAATCATGCATGTGCTATGATTTTGAGTAAAATAGAAAATTTTAATTATTTTTTTGCCTTTTGAAATTCACAATGCAAACAATATATGAATGCTTACCTTATTAAGATGTAGTAAAATCATATAGGGCATTTTAATTGACATCATTATTTCAATCATTAATTTTTTACATTTTAGAAAGAAGGAAACAAACTTTTTTAAAAAAGAAAACAAGAAAATGAGAGGAAAAGGCAAAAAATGAGAAAAAAAAATATTACTTTTCTCGTAGAGACACACCATAAATAAGTAATATATTTATTTTTGTTTTCTCTTTTTAATACATGTCAATAAAAAAATATTTATCTAAGCCCTATATCTACTAATAATATTCATATTAATGATTTAAAAATTATATATAAAAAAATTCTTTCACATGAAAATTGTCACTTACTCACTTATGCCATCTCCACTAAAGTTAAAGTTACTAATTGTGTGTTAATGATTTGCACATGATTTGCTTCAACATAAACGGCCCAACCCAAACCTCAGTACCCTTAAATATCCTATTTTGAGAGGCATCATAAGTTTCTTTAAGAAATAATATGTTATAAGTATTTATTTAAAAAATATTGAGTATTATTTGTCAAAAAAAATGGAAAAATTGCAGAAATCCCACCTTTTAGTTTACTTATTACCATTATCCCCTATAAGTTTTACAAATCTCCAAAATCCCTCATTTTCGCACATCAGATTAGTGTATCTCGCGCATCAATTTAGTGTATCTCGCGCATCAGATTAGTGTATCTCGATAGTGTGTCATGTATAATGTATCATGTATAGAATGTAATGTATATAACTTAACGATTAATGTATCTCGCGCATCATATTAATGTATCAACGCTTATATTATTGTATCCGTTTTAAGGGATTTCTGTAATTATAAACTTTTAAGGGATAGATTGTAATTTTGCCTTAAAAGTATGTGATTTCTGTAATTTCCCCACTTTTTGTATAAGAGAACAAAATTATTAAAAGTTTTACTAATTTAGAATACTATGTCTTAACTCTTAAGTAGGTGCGGGCGTTTGGTATTTGATTTGAGTTTTCCAAATTTCGGGTTTGGTAATTCGGTAATTGATAATTAAAAGTAGATATAAAATATCAAAATTTTAAATTTCGGTTCGGTAATTCGATAAACAGTAAATTAAACTTCAGTTTGGTATGGTATCGGTAATATCATATTGAAGTTATAGCCAATTGTATTACAAAGTTACTATCATTTCTCTAATCGTTTTTATTTTTTTATATGGAGGCACGATATTATAGAAGATCAACAAGTAAGAAGACATCAGGAAAAACAAATCGATACAACTGAAAGACATGTATTTGGATTGTTTATGCTTATTCATTAACTTTCTCTTAGAACTTGTACTATGAGTGTTTTATTAACTAACAATGATTTTAATTGATAAAGAGAGTCGCCACTTAATTTTTAAAGAAAAATTAAGAAAACTAATTTTTAAAAAATTAAAACAGTAAATCAATTGAAAATATTGAAAAAAGGGGTTAGGGGGTTCATATTAACGTTTTAGTCCTAAACCACTAGACGATGAGGGCCCGCTTGACCAACGGGAAGGGTTTGAAAGCACCTAAAACATCCGCTAACTTGCGGTTATCCGGTAATTAAAGTATTTGGCTAATTAATTAAAAAGACATGCTTAATTAGATTTAGAAAATAAACAAACTCAGAATTTTTTTTTTTTAAAAAAAAACATTAAGGGGAAAGGGAAAAAGAAAATATTACTAAGTAAACTCTCTTTTGCAAATATTCTAAAGTCAAATAGAAAAAGAAACAAACATTTATTTAAATTTAGATAGTTGACTCAAAATAGTTATCCTTTGGGGAATTGATTTTTTTTTTTTGAAACCTTAAAATCAATTTAACAAATAAACACATAATAACAATTAAATAGATAAGAAAAGAAAGATTTGGACCCAAATCTGGTTTTGTCCGCTTGGGCCAACACTTCTTCCGCATATCTTGCTCATCCGACATGACATGAATCACCGAACCTGCACTCAAGAATAGTAATGCTTTGAAATAGGTCTTAGTTTGTAGCTGTCAAAGTGTAGCATTGAGGTGAGGAGCGTGCTAGCTAGGTGGAGTCTCCTTTTGGAACTACTTCTTTTCCTTTCTCTCTCTGCTATCCCCTAAAGTGTCAGTATCGAGACAAGTTTGGAATGGGGCCTAATTTCTACTTTGGGCATTTGGCCCATTAATATCTGTCCTAATAACTAACAAAGTGAACTGATTTCCTTCTTTGGGCTTTTGGCCCAATTTTTGCCCTTTGTACCTCTCCTAATAAAATCAACACAATAATAGATTTTTTCATTGGGCTTTAGGCCCAATCTTGACCTGTCCCAGACTAGCAGAAAAATAACCAAATAAAGTGAAAATTTCTAATATGACATATATTATACTAATATTTTCGAGTTATAGCAGTAGATTTAGACTTTCAAGTCATAACATTAAAAATTTCAGGCTGTAACAGATTATTAAAAAAAAAAGTTATTTTTAATAATTAAAAACATTTGATTTGAAAAGAATAAAAAGATTTTAAAAAAAAAAAAAAACGTTTCTGAAGGAAAAAATGAAAAAAACGAAAATAGGGGTGACAATTAAATTTGAATTAATTTAAGATAATTATTAATTAGCATGAATTAAGGAATTTCAAACTAATTAAGAATATTCAGTTTCCTTAATTCACTCCAATTTGTTAAAATTAATTTTAAAATATGATTTTATCCATTTTTCTTTCACGTTTCTCTCTCTTCGATTTTCTTCCAGAAATTGTCACTAGCGACGAATTGAATTTTTTTTTTGGTTTGAAAAAACCTGTTTTTTTTTTTTGTGATAGACAACTACGTAAATAAAATTTGAATTGATTGATGATAATTATTAATTAGCGTAAATTTAGGAGATTCAAACTAATTAGGAATATTTAGTTTCCTTAATTCACTCTAATCTGTTAAAATTAATTAAAAAGTCTGATTTTATCCATTTTCTTCTACGTTACTCTCTCTTAGTTTTTTTTCCCCAGAATTGTTGTCACTGACGAGTAAATCAAGTTTTTTTTTTGTTTGAAAAATCTTGATTTTGTTGTGATGGACGACTGCTTATCTATATTAATTAAATATGGTGGTAGATGGGATCCTTCAGGTTGAATAAATGTTGGTATGAATAATTGGATGTTAACTATATATAGTTTGGATACCAATTATATGGTGTTCATTTTGATCTCCAATTAAATAGCAAAACTAAACTGTTTATGTATCCAATTGTTATGTAGTTTGTATATAACTGATATCCAAAAATTTGTATCCAATTGATATGCAGTCTGTATATAACTAGTATCCTGAAATTATGAGAGTCAATATGTAATTCATATGTAGTTGGATAACTGACTTGAAGAAAACAATGCATATTCTATATCATACAATACTTAAAACTGTATCAAAAACAAATATATATCGTTCAAAAGTTAAAAAGACATGAAATACTAAAGAGTCTAAGCTGCAATCAACTATCTCAAATTTGATCTTTGTAGTCTTGGTGTAGGATAATTGCTGGTATCTGGAGCATGTTCTTTTGCTATGCGGATCCATCAAATTTGCTAGCAACAGTCCCAGTTACTTCACTCTCACTGATCGCGCCATCATCATTCTTTGTTTTTCCGCATTGCCATCAACCTAGTTGGAGAAATTGAAAAGGAAACCTTCTTATTATAAAAAATAGGCATTATAAGAAAATACCAATTTCATACCAACATTAGTCATAATTTATACAAAAAAAATTTGGATGATTTAACAAACTACAATCAATTCACATAATTGGACCATTGATATCACACCATTTTCTAATAAAAATAATACACAACTTAAGTCAATTTTCATACCAACAATAAATCAATTTCATACCAATGTTAAAACACATTTCATACCATATTCATAAATCGTATATTAAGTCAGCTTTCATACCAATATTATTCATGTTTCATGCCAGTTTAGTAGACAGAATGAGAATAACTTGAAAAAAAAATAGATTTCCTCTAAACTGTGTACCAACTTCATACCAGATTTAAACAAGTTTCACACCAAATATAAGTAATACATCATACCATTTTTATACCAAATTTTATACCAATTCATGCCAACATTAGACAAAATTCATACTATATTCATAAATCGTATATTAAGTCAGCTTTCATACCAATAATATGCATAATATAACAATTTTAACAAAAAAAAATCTACTAAATTGATTTAACCATATCCCATGTAGTAAAAAACCCAATTAACTTTTGGAGGAAACAACACACACTCAACAATACTTTCCAAGAGTACAAACAACATAAGGTTTCAAGAACATCTTTACCTCCT